TCTCCCGTTCTCACTCCTTCGAGGACAAAGAGGCCTTTGAAAAGGCCGTGGTGGTGCCCGGCGATGTTTTGGCGGCGATCGATTGGATTGCTGCGCGCTCGGAGCGGCAGGTGTGCCGTGAGCGGCGAGCGACTCTCGAGCGAATTCGGGCCAGGGACGCCGAGCTACGCGCCTCTGGAGCGACGGCGGCCTGGTTCGCGGGCTGCGATGCCCATGTGCGCACAATCGCAGGGTCGATCAACGGCCCTCTTCTCGTCGAACTGCTCGACGAAATCGGTTACGAGGACGCGGCCTGCGTGGAAGTCTTTCGGCGCGGCGCGCCTCTCGTGGGCCCTCTCCCGTGCACGGGGAACGGGCGTCCGGAATCTTTCCCTGTACCGCTCAGCCTGCCGGACTTGGCCGCGGGCGCGGAGCGAGGCAACGCCGCGCTGCTCGGCACGCTCAAGGAGTCTAGCGACTCCGCCGTGATTCTCACCAAAACTATCGCCGAAGCGGAGCTCGGCCGAATGAGCCATCCCGCGCCGCTCAGCGCGGTCGAGCTCGACGGTGCGGTTTTGTCGCCGCGGTTCGGCGTCCGGCAGTCGAGAGAGGACGGGTCCGAGAAGCTGCGGCTCGTAGATGATATGTCGCGCTCTCGTATCAACGCGGCGTCGCAGCCGACGGAGCGTCTCGGCCATGAAGCCATCGACGCTCTGTTTGGCACTTGCAAGGCATTTGTGACGCGCGTGGGCGAAGCGCCCGGGCTCTGGAAGGCGGACATAGACGCCGCGTTCCGGCGCGTGCCGCTGTTGCCGGAACATCGCGCCCTCGCATGGGTCGCGTTCCTCGTGGGCACATGCGTCTACGTGGCTCAGCACTTCGCCGCCCCATTCGGAGCGACTTCCTCCGTTCACAGCTGGGAGCGCATCGGCGCGATGCTGTCAGCGCTGGGCCGCAGGCTCATTTTCGTCCCCGTCCTCAGATATGTGGACGACTTCTTCTGCCCCGAACGTAAGAAAGGGCTGCGCGACGCAATGCGACAGTTCGCCGAACTGGTAAGAATCATTCTGGGCCCGAGCGCTGTGGCCGACGGTAAGCTGCTGTTCGGCAATCCGCTCGGGGTCCTGGGCTTGTCTGTGGCGATTGACGAGCGTGGCCTCGTGTGCTGGCCGCTGCCGGAGAAGCGCGCCCGGTGGCGCGCCGAGATCGCTGCTGCTCTTCAAGAGGGCGCGCTCGAGCGCGGGCGCGCGTCCAAGTTGGCAGGCCGCTTCTGTTGGGCTGCCTCCCACACCTTCGGGCGGTTCGGGCGCGCGCTGCTCCCGCCGTTGTTTGAGCACGCAAGGGCGCGCCATCCTAGTATCCCGGCGCACCTGCGAGTCTGCCTGCAATGGTGGCACGAAGCGCTCGCCAGAAATTTCACCACGACGCGGGAGTGGCAGGCGCCAGACACCAGGTCTGTCCAATTGCTCTCCGACGCGCGGGGGAATCCAGCTAGAGTGGCCGCGGTTCTTTTCATTGACGGGCGCATTGTCTTCACCGATGTCGCCCCGCCTGAGCCTCTGCTTCGGCTCTTCAGGGAAAGGCGCGACAATCAAATCGGCGGTCTGGAGGTGCTCAGCATCGCGCTGGGCCTGGCCACCTTTGAGCCGCTCCTGTCGGGCCGATGCGTGAACATCTTTTCGGATAATTCAGGCAGCGAGTGGGCCGTCCGGTCCGGTGCGGCGAAGCAGTTTGACCACAATTGCCTGGTCCACTCAATCTGGCGCATGGCGCTGGATGCGAAATGCAATCTGCACGTTCAGCGTGTGGCGTCGGTGGACAACATCGCCGACCTGCCGTCGCGCGAGTCATATTCCCTGCTGTATCGCTTGGGGGCGGAGTGGATTCCTCCGGTGCTGGACGATGCCTGGTTCGATCCGAGCGCGTGGCTTCCTCATCGCCGGCCATGACCGGCTCGGGCGCTGGGCGTGCGTGCAATGGATCTGGCCTTCACTCATCGGTCAGGGTGCGCCCGCCAGGTCGGGCAGGGGTTGGCGTCCTCCCTCGCGCACGTCGCGGTCGCGCTTCGCCTGTGGGCGCGCGAGGGCATCTCTGGTTTGTCGGCGCACCTGGAGAATGTCATCGGTGTTCGCGCGATGGCGCTGGCTGGATTGCTCGCTCAGCTTCGCGCGGTTTGCCCTGAGGCACGCCCTCTTCCTGTGTTCGCCGCTGCCGAGCTGCTTGCCGATAACGGCGCCGACGCCGTGAGCGAGTTGGTTGGCGTCACCCTGGCAGACTTCAGGGGCGCCGCGGCATTATCTTGCGACGCCCGCGAGGTGGTCCGCGCGGCTATCGCGGCAGCCCAGCGCGGCGGCGCGCCAGCCGCGCTGGGCAGGGGCAGCGCGGGAGCTTCTCCTGCGCCCGCCCCGTCGCCCGGGATTGCCCCCAGGTCTGCTTGCGCGTTCCGCGTTCGTCGCGGGCCCCCCCCTTGTCGGCCGTCGCAGGACCGACATCGCGACGCGGTCGCCCTCGAGCGAATCCGTCTCGTCATCCTCCACGGTGCGCGCGCGAAATTGCGGCATGTCGCTCGCAGCGCTAAACGCGGGCGCCAGGACAGCGGCAGGGCGCATGCAGCTCCCCCGGAGGACCCCGTGTCCGCGGTCCGGTGGGCGCTCGCAGTCGCTGGGCGCGAGGGTCGGCGTGACATGCGCGGGCCGCGGGCCGAAGCTGCTCGGGCCAGAGCCCTCATCACCTCCTCGGCGGCCGGTAAAGCGTGGGCGCGCAGGGCCCGGGTGAGCGCTCTCCTGGGCGCATGCCCGCGCTCATTGCCCGCGCTCAGCAGCGGGTTCGAGTGCGGGGTTACATTCGCAAGGGGCGTCTTAAAGCGACGGGGGAAGGAACTGCCGCCCACCCTGGAGGGGCTGCTTCTGTGGTCTACGACCTTCAGGTGCGCCGGGACCTTCAGCAATTATGTGACTTACGTGAAGAAGGCGTGCCTCGTGGCATGCCGGCGCGCGCCCGCCTCTCATCTTCCGGCAACGCGCGCGTCCGCCCGCGGCGGCAGTTGGCGCGCAAGGCCCGTGGAAGTCTTCAGGCACCCGGCGGTACGCGCCGCTAAGAACGCCATCGAGAAGCGTTCGGGCTGGCAGGCGAAGGCGCGCATGGCCCTTCAGGGCCGCGACGTCGCCCGTCTGGTGTCGCACCTGCGTGTCAGTGACGAGGGTCGCCGTTTCGCCATGTTGTGCCTGGCGGCCTACGCATTCCTCCTTCGGCTACCCTCGGAGGCCCTGCCCGCGGTGCGGGTTGAAGATGGCGCGGCCGCGGCTTGCGTGGCCTCCGCGTTCGTCGTCGGCGATCAAAAGATCGAGCTGCACCTCTCCAGGTGAAAGAACCGCGAGAGCCGCTCGGTGATGGCACGGCAGTGCTGGTGCGACGAGTGCGCGGTCACCTGTCCCGTACACGTTCTTGGGGCCTGGCTAGTTGGCGAGCCAGCTCATCAGCCCATCTGGGCTGCGTGGTCCCCAGGCGCGGCACGTGCTCGGCTGCGCCGCGCGCTGGGCGAAATGGGGCGCCACGACGCGGAATCATTCGGCACTCACGCGTTCAGGCGCGGGCACGCGCAGGACATCGCTGCCAGGGGCGGACCGGTCACCGACCTTCTTCGCGCGGGCGGCTGGCATCAGCCCGCGTGGATGAAATACCTTAACGTTTCCCGGCTCGAGCGGCAGTCGGTCGCGGAAGCCCATTTGGCAGAGTCGTCCAGCGACGATGGCGATGGCTGAGCACCCCGCGCAGTCTGGCGGTCGTGTCTGCACGGCACACACGTGGGCGCACCCCCGGCACGCGGGGGCAGTGGGTGGCAGCGCCGGGCGTGGCCCGCGGGAGCGCCGTTGCAGTGGGTGGTGCTCCCCCACGGGCCCGACCGGCGTCTGCCCGCTTGGCCTCGGAGAGGCCGCGCGCTGCGGGGCAGGTGGGTCGGGTCCGCACCCTCCGCTCCTGGGGGAGGCTTCCTCCTCCCCCCCCCCCAGGGCCGTGCGTGGCGAGTGCAAGCGCCAGGATTTGTGGGGTCGGAATAACGAAGTTATTGCTTGGCACAAATCCGCCCGCGCTGTGAACGACCCCGCGGCTGGCCGCGGGGGCGCCATCGCTCGGCTGGTCGGCCGCGCGCTGGTCGACCCTCTTCCGCCTCCCGCTCGCGTCGTGTGGTGCAGTGCCGTGCCGTGCTTCCTCCGCCTGGCACTGGGGCGGGATATAAAGACCGTGCCGTGTGTCGGGTTTCGGCCCTCCGCCCTCTGGGGGCTTCGCTCGGCCCATAGTGGCTTCCTTGCGGCCCATAGTGGCTTCGTTGCGGCCCATAGCGGCCTGCTGCGTTCACGTGCCCAATGGGGCCCTCTCTTCAGGTCCATAGTGACCACGTGCTGTCGTTGGCCCGCCCTACCCGCCCTGGGGGTGTGGGGGGGGGGTGGTGCTCCCCCACGGGCCCGACCGGCGTCTGCCCGCTTTGCCTCGGAGAGGCCGCGCGCTGCGGGGCAGATGGGTCGGGTCCGCACCCTCCGCTCCTGGGGGAGGCTTCCTCCTCCCCCCCCCCAGGGCCGTGCGAGGCGAGTGCAAGCGCCAGGATTTGTGAGGAAAAGGAATGGAAGAGGAGAAGGAGGAGGAGGAGGAGGAGGAAGGGGAGGAGGAGAAGGAGGAGGGGAGGAGGAGGAGGAGGAGGACGAGGAGGAGGAGGAGGAAGAGGAGGAGGAGGAGGCCGACGAGGTGGAGGAGGAGGAGGAGGAGGCGGTCAGCTAATGGTCCCCGATTCAGCAAACCGTGGGGCCCAGAGCAAGCAGAGGCGGGCGCACCTTGAAGCAGTCGAGGTTACTGTCCAGGCCCCCTCTCGGCTGCAGTTGCACTCCAGCGCCAGGCACGCACACCGACGCACCCACCTCTGCGGTGTCAAGCCTTCTCGTTGTCCATCGACTCCTGCTCACCCCGTCTGCTCACCCCGTCTCTCGAGTTCATCGTCTGCTCGCCCGTCCCACTCGCGCTTGCGCTGGCAGGCGCCGATGCCGACCTGGAGGGGCCCACGCAGCCTGGCTGCTACGTGCGCTCACCCTCGGGGTGCCCGAAGCACAGCTCCAAGGTGACGGCCTGGAGGCGGGGCCCCGCCCGTGGCCGTCGCCACTGCGCGTGGCGCCGCGCGGCGCTGCCATCGTGGCCGGACCCCGTGGGAGGCCAGGGTGTTGTGCGGTACGGTCGGACCGAGGTGTGGGGTCGAGGTCGGCTCGGGGACGGTGCCCAGATGTTCTGCGTGTTTGTTGGATGTTTTGTGCGTCCTGGGGGATGATGCCCTCGAGTGTTCTCC